TTTTTTTTTTTTTTTTTAAATTTGAATTTTATTTTGTATCAATTTAGTAACTTGCCATCTGAACCCAAACTCAAATAGTGACATTCTTTGGCTCACCAACAATAGTCATGTAAGAAACAGGAGAAAAAATGAATGCAGTCCCACGTAGATGAAACACGCCAAGACAGAAAAAATTCCGATGAAGCCCAAATGAGATTCTATCCGAAAATCAATTCGTGGAAGGGATAGTAACTACTAAACTTATAAATTAAACTTATTTTCTTTATATAAACGATGTGAGACAACTAACAAGTGAATATTATAAGACGTCGGTCAGAAGCTTCAACACAAAGAATGATTGACGAAAAACTCACATCTTTTATTAGTAGTAAATAACAACAAAAATAATAATAAGTTTTAAAAGATTTAAGGGTGTCTTTATTTCACAAATCACACATATATATATGGGCCTAAGATTAAGGAATCGGACTTTCAATCTCTTCACATTTTTTTTGGGCCTCATTTGCTGATCAATATAGCCTGCAGCGCACTTTTCCCTCGAACTGGGGTAGTCTGTTGAAACTTTATGTAGTCTTTGTAGGTAATGGGCCGAAAACTGGCCCTTTCTTTCTTTTCAACAAGTGGGCTAGCAGGCTGCACAGTGCTTAGAAGATCAGGCCCATGTCCAACAGCCACTGAGATTCTCGTCTTGTCGGCGTTCACCGTCCCTCGATGCTCCACGCTTTTGTATTTTCCATTGCTTAAAATCTGTTTTAATTTTGATTGGACTTTATAAATTTGTGAAATTGAATCAAATATAAGTTTAATCAGTAATGTAATGCAATGTCTAAATTAAATGTTGTATTTATTTTCTCTAGGTTGTCTAAATATAAACTATAGGTTCGTTTTTTATCACTCGAAATCCCAAGCGAATATACTTAATAAAAAAGAAATTAAAAAATTATGTCACACTAACCTCCAAATAATCTCCAATGTTGACAAGCAAAGTGCCCGGTACATGGTCAACAGCACGCCATTCGTTGTTGTTTCTGATTTGCAGCCCATTCACACCATTTTGCATCAATATAGTGATTCCACCATGATCTGAATGGGCCGCAAGCCCAAGTGTTTTGTTGGGCTCTGGGCATGGTGGGTAGTAGTTATTGGCCAGAATCTGTATGCCCTGGCCCATTGATTTTTCTATGTACCCAACATCAAGCCCTAGGCCTTCTGATATTGCACCTGCTAACTTCATTGCCACTTTCCATATCTCCTCCATGTACTCCCTTGCCACATTTCTTCACACACAAATATAACAAGACAATTAAATTAAGAACTACTTTGTTATTCAATAAATCAATATCTAACTTAACTCAATATCAATATTATTAATATAATTAAAATAATATCAATCAATCATTATCACACAGTTTCTAACAAAACATCATCTCTCGACTTTAAGATCATTACATTTCAATTCACATCCAAACACCAACACAAAACCCAATCCAAATCTATACTCAGTCATTTTTTTTTTCCTAAATTAACTCATTCTATCCAATTAATCAAAGCTAGAGAGGCACAATGTTGATGAATTATTAGGAAAAATGCTACAGTCTCGGAACCATTACATCTTGAAAATGAATACAGAAATTTTGCTTTCATTAATAAAAGAAAGTCTTATTATTAATATAGGTAAATGCTTTAGAAAGATATGTATAAAAAGACCTTATTTCATTTAAGCCCTTCATGCTTACTATTACTATTTGTAACCGTTAGATCATCATGTAACCGTCGTGAATAGTTGATCTAACGGTTACAAACCCCGACAGAATGGTTTCGTCACGGGACCGTAGAATCTCCAGAATTATTATTAATTGGAAAAAAAAGGAATTTTGGAAAATGCATGACCTGTAATGAGGAGGATTAAGAGGCCACAAGTGAAAGCTATTCTCAAATGGATGTCCATAGTGCCTGAAATAGTCTCTCCAGTGAAGGTTATGCTTCTTTGATGTGTTCAAACTTGTCCCATACCTTACAGGACACAACACATCATCTGAAGCATACTTCATTTTCTCATCCAAACTCAGATCAAAGAATTCTTGAGCAACACCCAACATTTCCTCAAGCAAACTTTCTCTAATCCCATGATTGATGATCTACATTAATATTATGAAATGTTATATTATTATTTTTAGGGAGATTCTACGGTCCCGTTACGGAACCATTTCGACAGATTTTGTAACCGTTAGATCAACTATCTACTGACGATTATATGATGATATGACGGTTATAAATCCTGACGGAATGGTTCCGTAACGGGACTGTAGCATTTCCCTTTACATTTTAAAGTGTGATATTTCAGTATGAAAGCATATGTTAGTGTTATTTTAATAGGGATAGTAATGGAGGATTAATTTACCCTAAAAAAACCCCAAAGCTCACAGGCAGAGCTTATGGCTTTGACAGTGGAAAGCCTAAGATGAGGAGGACCATCAAGACCGCTCAAATCTATTACAGGGACCTCCGCCGTGGATGCCGACAGCGGGTCTTCTTGCAGCTGCGGCAGAACGTATTCCGGCGGCAGTGACGTCATCTCCGGCGAGGTCTCGACGAGGTATTTTACGCCTTTTTTTATGTAAGGGCAGTTGTTGTTAGAGCCATTGAGGGTAGAAAGTAGATTGTTTTCAGACATGGGTAAAGCTTTAGAATATTTGAAAATGTGATAGAGGGGAATAGAGTTATATGTGAAAAAAGGTTTGTTGGGTAAAAGAGGTGTCGGCCGATTGGAGTGGTGTACGATTCAATGAGTGCCTGGTGTTTCTTGCACATGCATACAGTAGACATAATTAAATTTAATCCCCTGATATTTTTTTATTTTTATTTTTATTTTTTAGAAAAAGTAAGTTAAAAATTAATATGTATACTAGTGAACTTACACTGCTTCAAAGGTTTTTGTGTGTATTTGAAATTCATCCCCATTGAGAAAGCCTCAAATTTGTGGAAATTTTTTTGTGGAGCTTTTTCATGTTTCCTAAAGAGTAGTGTCACCACACAAAGACATTTGAGCATCTCACAATTCACATGTGATGTACCCACGTTTTGTTCTATTATAATAATAAGGAAAAATGTTACGGTCCCGTTACGGAACCATTTTGTCGGGATTTGTAGCTGTTAGATCATCATGTAACCGTCGAGAATAAATGATCTAACGATTACAAATCCTGACGGAATGATTCCGTAATGAGATAATATGAGTTCCAAATAATGAGTACTTTTGTTTCATTATATGGAAAAGCTTCCTCATCAGGTCACTTGGATTTGGAGGAGTTGATATATAGAGATTTCACTTAAAAAGGTTAAGGCCTTCACAAAAATTAATTAGTTTATTGTAAATATGTGGAATTAACCACATTATCACTTCATTATTATATTAATATATGTATTGAAGAATGTGCCATGTTTGCCTATAAAAGGCAACAATTGTAGTACATTTGTGTGCACATTTTTGAGTAAGCGGAAGAGTGAAAAGAAAGCAGTTTATAATTTGTTCCGGTTTCTATACATTGTGTTCTTTATATTCCCCGTATTTCATAACACGTTATCAGCACGAACGCTCTACCCGGTCAAGAAAGGTAGGATATATATACATATTATCATTATTCTTGACAAGTTAGGCTCTGCCACAGTCAAGGATATATATACATATTGCTATTATTTTTGACAAGTTAGGCTCTGCCACAGTCAAAAATATATATATATTACTATTATTCTTGACAAGTTAGGCTCTGACACAGTCAAGATATGTATACTAAATATGATATTATATACACATTACCATTATTATTGTCAAATTAGGCTATGCCATAGCCAATAATATGTGGTGATATGATATTATTAAATTTGCTTATGAAGTATTATTCAAGTTATAATAAATGTTATTATTTATACTCAACACCCACAAAAATGGTTTACCCAGTAATGTGGCGTCGAATATATAACTGTTTATTCTTGTACCCACCGTAAAATTTATCAAATAATGTGGAG